CCAAATTTTGCTTTCAGACGAGTCTGAGAGCCTAAGCACCTCAAACGACCATAAGTCATAATACCTACAAGAAATAAAAATTTAATAATTGCATAGCATAAATATACATAGTCTATGCTTATTTTAAAAGTAATACATGATAAAGAACTAACCAATTCTAGTACAGAGATGATCAGCTTCCTCCATTGCATGAGTGGTCAGTATGACACTCCTTCCATCTTTAACTCTCTCTATAACTTCCCACACTTGTCTCCTTGAGGCAGGATCTAGTCCAGTCGTTGGCTCATCCAATATCAATATGTCCGGGTTACCAATGCAAGACATTGCCACTGACAGACGACGTCTCATTCCACCAGATAACTGCTTTGATCTTCTGCGACGTGCATCATACAAATTAACCTGAACAATGAACAAAAAAGCATTATAAAATATGAGATACATGTAGTATTAAGTGCATCATAGATGGGATAAATTATTGTATATACAGAGTTTTTATGTTGCTATTTTACTTATAAAATATAGTTTTAAGTGCATTGGAGATGGGTGAATAAAAGGTACTGTATTACTATTACTATTATTTTACTTGTCTGAGTGCTCTGTTAACTACAATGCTGGCTTTGCCTAATTTAACTCCTTTTAGTCTAGCATAGAACAAGAGGTGTTCTTCAGTGGTCAGTTCAGGATACTGTATGTCAAATTGAGGGCAGACACCAAGGTGATGATGAATATCAGATATCTACAATAATAATAATAATAATAATAATAATAATAATAATAATAATAATAATGAAGAAACAATGTACATATAGCAGTATAATTTTTTATGCATAAATATAATTTCAAAAATAATGTAATACATGTCCAATGTAGCTCTTTATTGTTGATTACTTGTGTAGCAAGATCATATCCAGCTACTTTAGCAGATCCAGAGGATGGTTCATAGAGACCAGTTAGTACTGATATGAGAGTGGTCTTACCAGCTCCTGAAAGAGTAGGAGGGTAATGCATAGAGAGAGAAGGAGAGAGGGTTCATTACCATTAGGACCAAGTAATCCAAAGCACTCGTTTCGATTAACGACTAGTGAGAAACTCTCTACAGCAACGTGAGGAGGCTTACCACCAGAACCAGGATACTGCAATAAAAGTAGTGAATGACATACAGAGTAATTGTATGTACATATATGGTATACCTCTTTTCTGAGTCTAGATATGATCACGGGTGCATCTAATAAGTTGTATTCATTGTCAACCAGCGTCTCTTCTTGCTGGACTTCATTATCAACCTCTTCATTAGTTATACTTATTGATATATTGTTGTGTCTCTGACAAAAAGGAAATGAGGGGAAGAATAGAAATGAGAATATCATACATGTGTAAATGTACATGTTACTATTCTTACTCTGGGGCTGGTTGGAGTGCTCAGTTCTTTTGGATCGCATTTCTGTCGAAAACCGATTTTCTTTAGTATCCACAAAAAGCCCTTGTATAAAGCTGAAAAAAATATAAAGGAATCTTTAAAGTTTGAGTTTAAAGTAATAAGTATATGTAGAAGCAATTAGTACATTATTTCACAGGGTTCAAGTCAGGATGGACAAAATACAGGGGTCAAAAATGGCTCGGTGAGAATTTTCCATTTTTATAATTTTTAATGATACATATACATGTTCTTATGTTGTGTAGCAAGTTTGAGCTGATTCTGATCAAATATGAATTTTGTATGAATTTTTAAAGTTGCTCCAAAATCGAGTCAAAGTCCCTGTACTATAGTGCAGGGTCCTGAGCCAAGTTTTGCCAAAAAT